TATATATATATATATTTATTTATTTATTTATTTAAATATTGTTTGTATTCTCAACTTTTATGACTTCATATAACATCTTAACCGTCCCATTTAATTATAGATTAATTACATATATTTATTTAAACGTCGTTGTAGTGTTTCTATACACGAAACCATTGTGGATAGCTACTAACTAGGATAGATTCCTGTGTATATTTGTTAGTTGATAACAAGCACGATTCTCGAAGCAATTTGAGGTATATTTGTTAATTGATTGTTACCAGAAGCTTTGGAGCATAGAGTATTAAAAATTGAAGTACGCTTTCCCCATGGAAATGACAAAGGGTGCTCGTGCTTATGAAACCACTCTTATATGTACCTTGTGCATTCCATGCATAGGCACACGCACTGTACACACCTCGCCTCCTCGAAGCCTACTCTTTGATAAACATAAATAATTGAATTAAGTAAAATTAATTGCCTTTCAATTGTGCACTTGAGTGAGAGAAGAAGATAAAATATGAATTTATAAATAAGTACGGTACAACTGACTACGAACAATTTTATTCTATAGAATACAAAAATGTAGTCGAATTTTAAAATTTATATTTATAAATGAATCACCACTTTGGAATTTCTTCTGTGATTTGTAACCCAAGCCCTCGTACATTTTTCATTTTTTTTTATATTTAACTCATGCATGTAGAATTTTCTCCTTAAATTGCACTTCTTTTTACCCCTAAATTAATCAAATTACACCTTTGAGCCTTGTAACTCTAAAATACCATATCCAATCTTCAGGTTCCATCTTAAAAATTCAACATGTCTGTAAAGACACTCACATCTTAATTATCTAGGATTCTATACACTTTTATAAATTCATTTCAGAAGGATTCAAAATTTTCACTTCCTTATAACAATTTCTTTGGAAATTAAAATAGCATCAATAATTTGCAAACATTTTAAATAATTCCTTCTTGTTTTTTCTTTTGTTTCTTCAAACTTCACCCATTCACTTACCCCCATCCATAAAAGAATATATTCTTGTATAAAATAAGATGTCATTTTCTTTTCTTGGATAAAAAAATATACATCAAACTTTCCAAGAATTATAATGTACATTGCCCAATATCTAAACACATATATTCTATGTATAAAAAAAAAGATGTCATTTTCTTTCATTTGGATAAAAAATACTAAACTTCCCAAGAATTATAATATATATTACCCTATATTTAGATGGATTATAAATCTAAGTATTTGTCAATATATAAGCACTTCCTTATCTCTGTCCTAACAACCTCAAAAAACCGAAAAATGTTTTCAAACATGGGATGGTTTACAGAAGATCCCATTTCCAGCCATGACCACAACAATATGTACACAGAAACAAAAGGTTTAGAGTCCACAAGTTTTGGTGAAAATGGGACAAAGGCGGAAAAACTTGACCATAATGCCAGTGAGCGTAATCGTCGTCAAAAGATGAACAGCTTGTATTCTTCTCTTCGTTCTTTGCTTCCAGCTACAGATCAAACGGTACGTCATTATATTGAGTAAGTAATTGATCACACACCTTACTTAACTTGCATATGTTGAGATCCATTTATCTAAAAAGTAGAAATTGTGTGAGAGGTGAGTTCGGCGCATCAGGTGGAATCCAGATTCACAATTATTTTTTCTTATCAAAAGCAAAGTACATGAACAATTTTCATAAATGAGTAGAACTGAGACTTATACTCAAGAATTTTGAGAAGATACTATGACCACTACGTCTAAAAACCTATATTAGTTGTGAGGAGATAAATTTTATGTATTAAACTATCGTGTATAACATTGCAAACTAAATTCAATTTATTCATTAAAGGCGTGACATATTCAGTATTTTGCCAACTCGGATTTGAATGCATTAAAGAAATGACAAATTTATGTATTCAAATTTCTTCGAGAAAGAATATTACTGCTTAGAATATTGTTAGAACTTTTTACCCTTGAAATTTTACATGTTCATCAGTTCATGTCAAGAGTTCAAAGAATTTGATGAAAAACTTGCTTTTTATACATAAATCACAGAAAAAATTAAGCATCCCAGCCACAGTTTCTCGTGTGCTAAAGTACATACCGGAGCTACAAAAGAAAGTGGACATACTGATTCAGAAAAAAGAAGAACTTTTATCAACCAAATCAAGGAAAGAAGACTTCATTTACCATGAAAGCTTGAGAGATGGTTCGAGACGAAGCTCGCCTACTTCTAATGTTTCTGTAAGGCCAGTTGGTAATGGAGAAATCTTAATACAGATATCCTCAGCTGAGGATAGAAGGACTTCATTATCAGATGTTTTAAAAGACCTAGAGGGGAATGGCATGGTTTTACTCAATGCATCTACTTTCCAGTCTGCAGGAATGATCTTTTATAGCATGCACTTTCAGGTACAATATGTATATCTGATTGCTGTGATTCATTTTTTCTTTCTGAACTTTATGAGAAAATATTATACTTGATCTGAAACCTAAGAATCTAAACACAACATGGGTGGAAAATTACTATTACTCAGGGAAAAAAATGTGTTCTTTAGTCAATAAATGAAACAAAGAGAAATTAGTTTGACTGATTCGGAGCTAAAGAAAAAGGAATCTCTCACTTTAAATTTCGAGCTAAGTGACATATTATTATTCTGTGTCGTGTCAAATATTATTTTGAATTGTCATGGCTCTCATAGATGTTATTCTTTTCGAAGTAGGTCGACATAGGTCTAAACTGGGTATATTTCATCCTAAGGTAAAATACTGCGCCATGGTCTGAGCTAGCCATGACTTGACCCCATTTCTTGGTTGCAATCGTTTATAAAAAGAAAAAGAAAATCTTTTTGCTAAGGATAATTTAGAGTCATCATATAAAATTCTATTTTTTTAATTTTCTTGACATTTTAGATGAAAACCACATTCATTATGTTGCAAGTCTTTTATGTGTATATTTCTTAATTCTTTAGTTAATTGTTTATTTTTTATTTAATCTCGATTGAATAAAAATAAAAATTCTCTTAGTTGAACCTTTGGTGATTGACCTTTACCTTTTCAAATTGGCTTACTAGCACAAAATGTCCTTACATTTGACCGTTTGTATACAAAATGTCCATACATTTCAATTTTTTACACTTTCGCCCTTATTTCAACGTTTCATTGTGGAAAACATCCTTCCATCCATCTGCCGTGAGTTTTACCATTAAATGCTTACTTGAACTCCCTTTTAATTTGAAACTCGAAGGGTAAAATGGTAAGACCACTTCACAAACCTCTTCTTCCCGCCATCATCCAAGGGTCGTGCATACTCAGGAACAACAACAGCAAGGGGACTGAAACTTGGGGAGCTCCAGATTAACATCTGAGGCAACCTCCGCAAGGTACCCATCAATTAGCTTGGCTACCATCGTGATTGGTGTCGGTAATGGTGATCTCATTAGTTGGGCGTCATCAACCACTTGATCCATGACCAAGAAATGGTCAAGAATCCTCTGGACGCAGTCCATATCATATAGAGTAATAAACATATTATTCTAAAAAAAGGGAAAAAAATCATTTAACGAAATGGCTGAAACCATTATTCGTCATGAGTCCCAAAATTGTACATCAGAAGCTGAAGCTGTCAAACTGTTTTTTCCCAAATTTGAACATGTGGAAAACGTCCCAAATTTGACCTCATTTGCTGGTTGCAATTGTTTATAAAAAGAAAAAGAAAATCTTTTTGCTAAGGATAATTTAGAGTCATCATATAAAATTCTATCATTTTAATTTTCTTGACATTTTAGATGAAAACCACATTCATTATGTTGCAAGTCTTTTATGTGTATATTTCTTAATTCTTTAGTTAATTGTTTATTTTTTATTTAATCTCGATTCAATAAAAATAAAATAATTAATTTTCTCATTTGAACCTTTGATGATTGACCTTTACCTTTTCGAATTAATGCCATGGCCTTATTGTAATTTCGTCGCCAATCTCCGGCCCCCTATCTAGATAGTTTACAGAAGTCCATCTTATCTATTCCATTGCAATTTACTAATAAATATTTTTTCATGTTGTTAGGTGCAAGGGAACCCTATATTGGAGCTTCCAATATTAAAGGAAAGGCTTATGATATTATTATTTGAGAGAATGAATTGATTGTGGACATTACAAGTTTACTTACATGTAAATTTGCTTACACTTGATAACTATAAGCAAATTTTGAAATAAGTAATCTTTTTTTATTGATCAAAATTGAGAAAAAATAGTTACTTTAAAGTACTAATTATTTTAGGGAGGTCTTGTGCTCATTTATATATAATAATAATAAAAAAAAAAAGTAAATTTATACAAATATGTTTAGAAATAAAAAATTACCTATAAGTGACTTAAAAATAACTTTTACTTTTTCTAAAATCTAGCCAAACAAGAAAAAAATTTATCCTCCTTAATCTTGCACTTGATTATATACAAGAAATGAAAAGAGTAAATAATGAAGAATCAATTTTGAGAAACAAAAAATAATCCTTTTAGACTTTTCGAGGAAGATCAATGTCAAACTAAAAAAAAAAAAGAGGAAGATAAAAAAATAATGTTTTCAAATAAAGTTGATTTTTTATGAGATTCGACCTAAATTAAAAAAAAAAAAAAACAAAAGAAATATTGAATGGATAATAAGACTCTCAATCCAAAACGAGAATATTAATATTGGTCAAGAAAAAATAATTTATCTAGTTGTCAAAAGTTATCTTCAATGGGATAAAAGAATGTTAGTTTCAAATTTACATAAATCTTAATTTAGATTATAATCATTCTTTACATCGAGAAAATAAAATAGAGAAATTATTTCTTTATTTTGATTGAGACTGTAAACCCAAATCAAGAAAATTAAAAATGTTATCTCAAATAGGCAGTGAACTTTTTGATTTGATGTGAATTAAATTAAATCAAATTTTTAGAATATTTTGATAGAAATTGATGAAATGTGTAGTTAAAAAGTTGTGGAACCCCATATAATATGTGGTTGAAATAAATTGTTGACTTTGATTTATATTAAAATTTAGATTTTAATCGGTATCAAACATGAGCTTAGAGTCAATAATATTAATCAAGATTAACAAAATATAATTTTTAGAGTTGTCATAATATAATTCAAGAGGAAATAATGGTGATGTCTTCGTATATAATATTTTATACTTTAAAAATTTCAATTTTTGAACTGTTGGATTTAGTGGGTAAAGTTTAGTGACCACTCGGATAGTCGGATGCATATTAAAGTTCAGTGAATAAAGCATGACGGAAGTATAAATTTAATGATTAATGGAATATGTTGAGTAAGCTATGAAGTGTAATGCGTTAAATTTCAGTAACCATTCGAAAGCATTTTAAAAGTTCAAATTAATAAATTATGGTCAATGAGTGATGAAATACAATATGTTAAAACTCATCGTTCACTGGAAAGTATTTTAAAATTAAGTTATTCAAGCGTGAATGAGGTATAAGTTTAGAGATCAATGAAACATTTAACTCTTAAGAAACTACCTAGTAAATTGTTAAACAACAAATAAATTTGTTTGTGTATATCATTATAAACATGGAGGATGTCTGAAATTAGATGAAGTGTAAACTTGAAGCAGTCGACCCTGGAACATACCTAAAATTGAATAAAGAACATGGAACAAAAGGAAAAACCAGGTAGACATTCATTAAAGATGAAGTTGGGTAATCGTCACTTAGTTTCTTCCTAAATCGTTCTTGCTACAAAAGGATCGAGAAGCGTGTTCTTCGAGGCGACTATAACAAGTCTTGTTTAGATAGGAGATATTAGAAACAACTTCCCCTGAATCCCCCTGCATAGTTGGATTGGGATTCTTTTCTTTCTCACCTCACTGATTGGAATGGGACATTTAGGCCCATGAATAAAAGGCCGATATGTTAGAGATGGGCCTTTGAATAATGGGCCCAACATATAGTGCTTGTGTGGGTGCCCTGAGGTGGGGGTGACCATGACAATAATTCCAAAAATGGCTGGGTTTAGCAGTCTCAAAACAGAAATAATCTTCATTAAATTCTCATTTAAATTGATGCATACATATCTTTAGTCATAATTTACTGTCCTCAGTAGACATGATAAAAAATTTCAATCGCTAATGTGATAAGAAAATTTTAATTATGATTATCTGAATACGTCAGCAGTGAGATTTTTTTATTCTACCCATTGGGATAGGAGATCAATTATGTACATATATTATCTTAATTCTCACATTGTAAGATTATCAATTTAAATTGACCATGAACAAGAATATTTGATGTCTTGAAAGCAATTTAAATTTGGACAATTTTTTTACTCTTACATCAATGTTTCAACATAACCAGTGAGCTAAACCTATCGCGCATGTACTGTTGTTTGAATTGTGTTGATATCAAGTAAGACAACTATCTTTTGAGGACTTGTTACGAAATTTTAATTAGTCAGATGCATGAATACGGTGATGTCTCATCACCCACGAATTGTCATTGTCCTTCCGCAACATCCTACTCCAATCATGTTAGAGCTAATATATTGGTTGGTAAACGTCCACTTAATTTTACGACATTTTTCTCTTAAATTCGTCATCCTAACTTAGAAAAGTGGTGTTGTGTGTCGACTCTTCTGCAGTGTGACATTGAACTCGCAAGAAAATGACTTCTCTAAAGCAGCACACATACCTACCCAGGCCGTATAGAAATAAAAGCACGAGCAGTAGAAACAATGATTGTTTCAAAGGAGTCTTTATTTGTACACAGTAATAATAATAATAAGATCAATCATTCTTATTTTTTGATTAATAGTAGGCTGCGGCTGAATCTGGACATGACAATTAGTTTATTTAGGTTAAGAATGTTGGAATTTGTCAAGTATAAAATCAGGATAAAGTGAATTTTTGGGTCACCTTCAACCAAATATTCGAATTTGATCTGATAGTCAAAATATGGAAATAAATAGGCTAACTTATTCTACTTGTCGAGTAGACCGTTGTGGTATATTTGGAATAACAAATCCAATTTCGGATTAATGAGAAATTGCTGTCCAATATTAAAAGAAAAGAAGAAAATTGATTGAAAAATTGTCCCAACTCTGCCGCTGGCCTAACGCTCGAGCAGTGAGGTTGTCATTCGAGTAACAAGCGAGCAATAGAGTCTCTATTTCTGACGTTTGAGTGACATGAGGGCGATTGTGAGCTACAACAAAAGCTGCCACCCTTGGCAAAAGTTGCTAAGTTTTGAGGCGTGTCTCTTCAATCACAACATCTTCTCCTTTATAAACAAGGCTCTTCAGATGTTCATTACTTCATCATAATGATATGCAATCATAACATAACATTTAATTCATCTTTTCCGAGTCAAAACTCTGTATAAAAATATGTTTTACATTTCATTCAAGAATGAGGACAAACTACAAAAATCAATTTTCGGTTCGTTGTTCTTGTGTTTTAGAGTGCTACAAACACAGGAAGATAATCGTTGTATCTTGAGAGTTGATTGCCACCATTCGTAGGCACCGTTGCAGGCCATAATCAACTTAAGGACAAAGAATTTAACTATTGCATCGACTTTGCATCCGTTTATCTTACGTTACTTTGTTGACATTCTTTTTCTTTAGTACCCATATCCTTGCTCTTACTATAGTTGATAAGTTTGATTTTTGATTTTAAAGTCATCACGTCACTCAAATTTATTACTTTTCAACAAAGAAGAAAAATAATACTGCTTTATTTCTTGACGCAGAAAACACGCCGAAAAAATCCTAATTACAGAAAAAGTTGTCATTTCTTACAGCGTGGTAGTTCATGTACCAACAACATTTCTACACTAATGCTGCAAAAAAAGTAAAACCGACACCCGCCCACTGAAGGCCTACCCATAAAAACGCAAAACGAAAATAAAGTCAAAAGGGTAAAATTCAAGACATAAAAGTTCAGTGCTGTTGGTGGTTGCGACTTCGATTAATGGTTCTTGTATCCTCATGTTACCAACTTTCTTGAAACGAACACTGACTAGCTATTGGGACTTTGATTTAATTAAATATATAGGATCAAAAGGCCATACCGATTGTAAGATATTAAATAAAACTAAATCACAAGTCTATGAAATTACTATTTGAACAAAATTTTCATAAATAACTAACTTAATATAAATTACTCCTAATATGGGAAAATATTTGAGTTACAAATCCTTTTTAATGAGATAGCATTCTCTATCTATTTATTAACAAACTTATTTTATTATAACACATGGTAACTTTTTCCTTTTTTTGGAGAACCTAACACATCATAATTGGCCTTGGTGGCAAGCATTTTGTTTACGTGGCATGCACATGACGGAAGAGTCACATATATACCGGCATGGTATTGATTATTCAATTGATTGGGCTATTTAGTTAAATAACTCATCGGCCATTTAATTGATTATGTTATTTAATTAAACTTCATATTGGGCCTGAGTTTGATCCATTAACCACTTGGTCTATTATCATTTTTCTAAATATATGTGACTTTACTTTACAAAAGGTGAACATTCTAACCCTAACCAAAATCTCCTTTCTTACACTCATATTATTTTTCGTCTGACCGTTAATTTGATTGTCGGAATGCAAATTGTCGTCGAACCCTTTCACGATAGATGGCATTTGCCTCCTAACCAGGTGTTCCAATGTGCAGGTGATGTCTACGTAGAAGGAATGTGATCGAGATTCTGTTAGCGCATTTTTTGAGATCGACACCTTTATTATCTACTCCCATTACATTTTGAATCCACGTGAGTGATTTGGATGGGGTTGTATCGTTTTTTTAATCTTTTATGATTGTTTAACTTATCATACCAAACATGTTTTTATATTTAAATATTTGTGTTTGGCGATGCTCGAAAAGTAATTATATATAAAATAATCTATTTTGTTGGTTAAAGTTGGAATACACCTAAAAATGAACAACATTCTGTGTACAGGCGAAAAGTAGATCACTCTTAATTATAATTTATTTAAAGTAAGGTAATAAAAGTTGAGTGGAACTTGTCTAAATGCATGAATGTATCATACAGTTGACAATGACTGAATGGTTTCATTTTCGTTAAAGACATAACCCAGTAATTTTTTTATAAATCAATAGCGATAGAATTTA